AGGACTGGACTCACCCATCACGCAAGCTGAGGCACTGAGGGAGTCTGAAGCTCCGCAGTGGCAAAGCAGCGGTGGAGGAGATGCACACTGTCCTCCAGTCTCTGGATGTTGTGCGGCACCTCTAGAATGGGCAACTGGGGTGGTGGTTCCCATTTCTAGTTAGGGGACCACAGGATTTCATCTCTGTTATTTGCAGATGATGTTCTGTTGGCTTCATCGGACATGGAGCGTCAGCATGCACTGGAATGGTTTACTGCTGAGTGTCGTGACAGGGATGAGAATCAGCTCCTCCAAATCTGAGAGCCATGGTGCTCCGCTGGAGAAAGGTGGCTTGCCATCACCAGGCTTGAGGAAAGTCCTCAGGCTTGAGTTCAAGTATCTTGGGGTCTTGTCCATGAGCTAGAGAAGGATGGAGCATGAGATTGACAGGCGGTGATGTGGTCAATGCACCAGACTGCTGTGGTGAAGGAGCTGAGCCGAAAGGTAAAGCACTCGATGTACCAGTCAGTCTAGATTCCTACTCTCACCTATGGTTATGAGCTTTGGGTCATGCCCAGAAGGGCAGGATCTCGAATACAAGCGGCTGAAATCAGGTTCCTTCACAGGGTGGCAGGGCGCACCCTTACAGATAGGGTGAGGAGCTCTGTCACCTGGGAGGAATCCTCCACATCTGGAGCAGCAGCTGAGGGCTTTGGGCATCTGATTCGGATGTCTACTGAGGGAGGTGTTCCAGGCTTTTTCCTGGGGAGACCCAGGATACACACTGGAGGGACTATCTCTCTCTCATTGCCTGGGAACACCTCAGAATCCTCTGGAGGAGCTAGAGGAAGTGTCTGGCAGAGGAGAGTCTGGGGTTCTCCTGAGACGGCTGCCCCTGCAACCAATCCCCAGATAAGCAGAAGAACAGGGATGGATGGAAGACTGTGTCTCTTGCTTGTCTATGTGATTTGAGAACTTTAATATATTTAGAGTAGAAACAAAACAAAAACTCTGAGTAGGAAAAGGGCAAAGCACAGATTCTGTGTTGAGCTGATCATGATGAAGTGATGTTCAGTCTGCTGCAAATGCTGAGAACACACACACACACACACACACACACACACGGTCAGTGATCCTCCTGTTGATGTGTGTGTTTCCTCTGTGTGCAGGCCGGGAATGCAGCGACGCAGGAGCTACTGAGGAAGCTGACCCGCAGCGGCCGCATGTTCCTGATCCCGGCGGCGGTGGGCAACCAGCTGATCCTGCGCTTCAGTGTGACGTCGCAGCTGACCACCGAGCAGGACATCCGGCGGGACTGGAGCCTCATCCAGCAGGCAGCCCGCGAGGTGCTGCAGTCCGGAGTCGTGACCCGGCAGCCCAGCGTGACCTCTGACCCTGAATCGGAACCGGAGTCGCTGACCATCCACACGGAGCCCATGCTGGACCAGCGACTGGTGCGCCAGGGGCAGAGACGGGCCGTCCGCTCGTACAGCTGCAGTGCAGAGCTCCCGCCAGCCCCCGGGCGCACACAGACACACCGGGACGCGCCTCTGCAGCTGATCCCGGAGCAGCCCGAGCGCCCGCAGCATAGACGCCTGCTGAAGTTCAACAGCGTGCCGAGCCTGGCGCAGGTCTGGGCGCAGTGCGGCATGCAGCAGCTCCACCACCCCTTCAGGAGAGGCCTGATCACCAGCCGTGCCAGCTGCTTCACCTGCCCACCACTGCCCGAGGGCACACCGCTGCCTACTAAATAACACACACACACACACACACACACACACAGCTGCTTCACCTGCCCACCACTGCCCGAGGGCACACCACTGCCTACTAAATAACACACACACACACACACACACACACACACACACACACAGCTGCTTCACCTGCCCACCACTGCCCGAGGGCACACCGCTGCCTACTAAATAACACACACACACACACACACACACACACACACACACACACACACACACACACACACACACACACACACAGCTGCTTCACCTGCCCACCACTGCCCGAGGGCACACCGCTGCCTACTAAATAACACACACACACACACACACACATACACACACACACACACAGCTGCTTCACCTGCCCACCACTAATTAATATTAATAGTTAGTGTTCATAGTTCTACTGCGTCCTTCAGTTCAGGCTCATTTCTTATAATCATGTGGAAAAAGAGTCGCAATTAACTTTATTTTTACTCCATGTGCAAACAAGATCCATCAGCAGCACAGCAGGGGTGCCCAAACTCAGTCCTGGAGGGCTGCTGTCCTGCTGAGTTTAGCTCCAGCTTCCTTCAACACACCTGCCTGGAAGTTTCTAGTATATCTAGTCAGAGCTTGATCAGCTGGTTCAGGTGTGTTTGATTAGGGTTGGAGCTAAACTCTCCAGGTCACCGGCCCTCCAGGACTGAGTGTGGACACCCCTGATCTAGACCATCGCCTACATCTACACCATTATCATGATTAAAAACCCTTACTGGAAGTCAGAAACTCATAATTAAATCATAGAAAAGATTTAAAATAAAACATTTACACTGTGGTACAAAAATTAGATGTTTAGATGTTTATTTGTGAAATCAACAGAGAACAGTGAGCGGATATGCTGCTGTTAAACGGCGGAGAGGAGGAATCTGCACACGTCTGCAGTCTGTCTGTAAAAACACTCGTAGATCCAAATAGACAACTTATTCTCACAAACGAGGAGATTTATTATTCATATCCAGCAGTAATCATCCACTCGTCCATCAGTTCAGGGTTGATCAGAGAGAGAGATCTCCTCCGCTGCTCTTCCTCATCAGTGCGAGACGCCTCGCTCCTCTAATATGAGGATCAGGAGTTTTGGGTTTTCCAGCACAGCCACACATTTATTAAAGCATTCAGATCAATCCCTCACGCTATACACTGTTCCCCAAATTTAAATGCTGCTTTATGAGTTTGATTAAACATTGTCTGTGAATAATTCTGTGTTGGTGTGCGTCTCACTCATCTCTACACAACAGTCCGCCTGTTAGAGGAGCTGACGGCAGCTTCAGGCTCTCTCACGCTTCCGCCTGTTGAATAATGATGATGATGTAAAGCGCACACCGCGGGCTCGTGTGTGTGTGTGTGTGTGTGTGTGTATGTTAGAGTCTGGTGCGTCCTGCAGTGATGGCGCTGAAGATCTCCTCCGTCAGCGGCACAAACGTCTGCTGGTTCTCCTCCATGATGAAGAGCCGGTCTCGGGTGGAGTTCGGGTCGAAGCCCTCCTGCACCAGCTGCACCTTCACCTGTTTGAAGGTTCCCGTCAAGCGGAGCTCCTCCTGTAGAACAACAACACACACCTGAGAGACGGCAAACACACACACACACACACACACACACACACTTTCCAGAAGTTTGCTGTTGTAGATTTTTTTAAATAAGGAAATGGACATCCCAAGTGTCCTGGAAGCTCTGGGAGTCTCCCCCGTATCCCCATATCATGTCCTGGAGAAATGATGACCGCGCTAGAACCATCCCTCTAAGAAGGTCTCTGGTTCAAGCCTCGGCTGGGTCAGTTGGTGTTTCTGTGTGGAGTTTGCATGTTCTCCCCGTGTTGGCGTGGGTTTCCTCCGGGTGCTCCGGTTTCCCCCACAGTCCAAACACATGCGCTATAGGGGAACTGATCAACTACACTGGCCGTAGTGTATGAGTGTGTGTGTGTGTGTGTGTGTGTGTGTGTGTGTGTGTGTGTGTGTGAATGAGTGTGTATGGGTGTTTCCCAGTACTGGTCTTCAGCTGGAAGAGCATCCACTGTGTAAATCATATGCTAGAATAGTTGGTGGTTCATGGCGCTGTGGCGGTCCCTGATGAATAAAGGGGCTGAGCTGAAGGAGAATGGATGGTGATGCAGAGCTCTACATGGCGTATGTACAGATGTATGAGAGTGTCCAGCGCCTCGCGTCACCTGTAATGCGGCCCCCAACACTGGTCATGGTCAGCCGCTGGGCACGTGTGGGTCAGAGCTGTACCTGTATCCTGATGAAGCGCGGTCTGGCGTACGCCGGCAGGAGGTTCTTCATGTGTTCATAAGCAGCAGAACCGTCAAACTCCATCCCGTCTGTCAGCTGCAGCGCCGCCATCCCCACACGACCCTCATGACCTGAGAAGAAGAGCAGAAACACCTGAGCCTGACCTCTGACCCCTGAGCCAGATCACGCTGACCCTAAAGGCCGTTCACACAGAGCAGGATCCCCGTGATAAAGATCTAGCTGTAGATGTGTGTCGGTGTTCGAGAACAGCACAACTACAGCCATACACACACACACAGAGGAGTTTCCCAGAGAACACTGACGGCCAATCAGAATCCAGAGAACATCAGAGCTCCAGACGCCACGGATGAAGAGCAGCCCTCACTCACAAGAGCATCACAGATCAGCACGATCCTGGAGACTATTGATCACACCATGGAGAATACTGATCAGCTGATAGATGAAGATCTGGAACTAGAACTAGAGCAGTGCAGTTCACAGACGGACCTCATGGTGGCGTGAGAGAGTCCAGTCTGAAAGCTTGAAGTACATTTACAGTGTAAATAACTCGAGCAGTTTAATGAGTGTCAAACAGTCGGCAGATACATAACAACACACACATCAACATGATTCAGGCATGGATTGGCATGTTTCTTGCTAGGCGGTTGCTAGGGTGTTCTGAGTGGTTGCTAAGGTGTTGCTAGGGTGTTCTAGCTGGTCACTAAGCTTTTGTTAGGTTGTTCTGAGTGGTTGCTAATGTGTTGCTAGGATACTCTAGGTGATCACTAAGGTGTTGCTAGGTTGTTGCTAAAGGAGTTCTAAGTGGTTGCTAAGCAGTTGCTAAGACATTGCTAGGTAATTGCTAAGATTTTACTAGGCAGTTGCTAGGGTATTCTGAGTGGTTGCTAAGCAGCTGCTATGGTGTTCTGGGTGGTTGCTAAAATGTTGTTAGGTTGTTGCTAGGGTGTTTTAAGTGGTTGCGAAGGTGTTGCTAGAGTGTTCTGAGTGGTTGCTAAGGCATTGCTAGGCAATTGCTAAGGCGTTGCTAGGTGGCTGCTAAGATGTTACTAGGTAGTTGCAAGGGTGTTCTGAGTGGTTGCTAGGCAGTTGCTATGGTGTTTTGAGTGGTTGCTAGGTGGTTGCCAGGGTGTTGCTAGAGTGTTCTGTGTGGTTGCTAGGCAGTTGCTATGATGTTCTGAGTGGTTGCTAAGGCGTTGCTAGGCAGTTGCTAAGGCGTTGCTAGGTGGCTGCTAAGATGTTGCTAGGCAGTTGCTAGGGTGTTCTGAGTGGTTAATAGGCAGTTGCTATGGTGTTTTTAATTGGTTGCTAAGATGTTGCTAGGTGGTTGCCAGGGTGTTTTAAATGGTTGCTAAGGTGTTGCTAGGCAGTTACTATGGTGTTCTGAGATGTTGCTAAGGCATTGCCAGAGTGTTCTAGGTGGTTGCTTTGATCTTCTGAGTAGTTGCTAAGGCATTGCTAAGCAATTGCTAAGGTGTTGCTAGGCGGATGTTAAGGTGTTCTAAAATGTTGTTAAGTGTTGGTAAGTGGTTGCTAGGGTGTGGTTAGCAAGTTGAAAGGTCATCAGTGATTGGCAGATTGATATTCTGAGTTAAATGAGCTCAATCTTAAGTCTGTGTGACTGTCTGGTGGAAAATTATGAGGTCAAAGTTTGGTCTGATGTTGAGTCTTTGAGACTTTTCTGAGTTTTCCAGGTCAGCTGTCAGGAAAACTGTAAGTCCGATCAGTGGGTAAAGATAGAGCAACCCGACTCAGAGCAGATTGGAGGTCTGGAGTTAGTCTGGTGTTTGAAGTATGAGCAGTCTAGGAGATGAGTATAGAGACTAGTCTCAGAAGAAGACGGGAGAATCATCAGTGGATGTAGGATAACAGTGTGTGTGTGTGTGTGTGTGTGTGTGTGTGTGTGTGTGGACACTAATATGCTTATATTTATGTATTGATCGTTGTTGTGTTTGCTGTGAACTCTGACCTGGAACTGTAACGCCGTACACATTTGCAGCCTCAATGCAGTCCAGCATGAGCAGGATCTCCGACACCTCAGTGGTGGCCACGTTCTCTCCCTTCCACCTGATCAAGCAGAAGCAGACTCATGATGAGCTTCAGCTGCTATTCATGTGTTCTCAGCCATGATGCTGCTCACACAGCGAGTCACAGACACTGATCATGAGACGGTGAGAACACACAGTGTTCAGTGAGGTGAGAGCTGCCTCTGTCCAGCGCTTCACTACAGTGAGTCTGTAATCTGGACTCTGCTGTTGGGTCTCTCAGTGATGTGTGTTGGATGTTTACAGAATGGATCAGCTAATACACACTCTGACGCTCGGTGTGATCGGCGGCGTCTCACCGAAACGTGTCTCCGATGCGATCCTGAAAGTAGAGGAATCCCTGGCGGTCGGCCAGGATCAGATCTCCGGTGTTGAAGTACATGTCTCCTCTCTGAAAGACGTCCCTCAGCCTCTTCTTCTCAGTCTGCGTGGAGTTTTTAGCGTAGCCTTCGAATGGAGCTAATTTGTGGATCTTCGCCACCAGCAGCCCAGTCTCACCTGTACACATGTACAGAGTCATTCAGCAGACGCTTCTGTCCAGAGACACGCTCAGCAACTCAACACTGAAGAAGAGCACCAGCAGAGCTGATGACAGAGGAGCCGATGGTGCGCAGAGCAGAGTGAGATGGAGAGTGTGTTTTCTGTCAAGCCCACTCACCTGTGTGAGGGACACTCAGGTAATGATGTCAGCGCTCGAGCTAACACAGTGCACTAGAAGTGTTCAGGTGTTTTACCTGGAGCCGCTTCAACACACAGTCCATCAGAGCCTCGCACCGGCTCCTCCTTCTCCGGATCAAACTTGAGGAAAGCATAGGGAAAGAGCATCTGCACACACACACACACACACACACACACACACACACTCAGATTAACATGCGTGTTCAGATTAACCTCGGCTGAGCCATGTTCAGTCACGAGAGCATTATGGGACCTTGTGGATGGCAGACACTCTCCCGATGGAGCCGATTTTTCCGGTGTAGTTGAAGAATCCGATGTTTCCCTCTGTGGCCCCGTAACACTCGCAGACGCGCACGTCCCCGAAGCGCCGCAGGAACTCCCGCCATGTTTCCGCTCGGATGCCGTTCCCTAAGGCCAGGCGGACGCTGTGCTGACGGTCATTCTCTCTCTGAAACCACAGCAGGAACACGTCACACACACACACACACACACACACACACACTATAACCAGAGCTCACGGTGCTCATGAGTTAGGGCACGCACACAGCTGAACTCTGAGACCCAGAACCCTGATCCAGAACGACCCGGACAGTCAGTAGAGCCACACACTGGATATCCCAGTAAGTGAAGGCAACTCAAACCATTTGAGGAAACCAACAGCAACAAACCATTTAATTTAAAAACTAATCCTAATGAGTTCAGTGAACTTTCTCCATCTGAGTAAACGAAGCAATCTGAGCTCAGAAAAACCCAGAAAATGAAGAGAACTCAAACCTG